AATCAGTTATAATCTGTATAAGATGGCTGGCTTGAAGAATGTCATTACGGTCATGCGAGGAAGTAGAATTGATGGGCAGAACATTTTGCTCTTTTGCTACGGTAAGTGGACTTTGTTTATCACTGGGAAGCACCGGCGAGGCTGATTGAAGTATTGAGGTTAACTGAGACTAATTTCTGGACTAATTCGAGTTATTTTGTGAAAGATATAATGGAATCGTATAAGCGCATCCCAGTAGTACCACTTATATCTGATCATCACATCGCTTGCCAAGGTGATTCGGGAGGTCTCTGAAAAAACTTTTCAGAAGTTTTGTTTTTTAAAAAATCTCGACCTATCACTTCATTTTGCCGAATTTGTTCTGTTCTAGGTGTGCAATATTAATTTTGAATAGTAGCGAAGGTGAAAGAAAAGAACTGGTACTGTCACAGCTGAGCTTCTCATCCATTCTATGCATCGTTTCATTCGCAGTTGCATTTTTGCCACGAAAATTGCTGCATCGGAAAAAGCCGAATAGTATCATTCAGAGGTAATACATATTCTTTCATACTAAAAAATCTGCGTTATATTTTATTCGTTGATGCATTCAAACGAGAATTATTTTAAAAAATTTAAGTAGTTTATGTTAATTGAGCTCAGTTCCACTGCAGACCTTGGTGATTTTAATTTTTTTTTTTTTTTTTTTGATAAAACCGTAAATAATTTTCACCTTACCGTTTGGGAAGCATCCCTGCTACAACGGCTGGATCAGTTTTTCTCGACTTTTTTCATTCAGTATTTCTTTGTCTAGAAAAACTTCAGCATTAATTTTGAGGCAATTTAAAAATTGAGGGGAAAAACACATTATGACGTAGAAGATTACTGCATATGTCGGTCTAAAACATAATTGTTTTCTTCTGTTTCTCATTTTTTTCAACTCTGTCGCTATGCCTGCGGAATATAACAAATCATTTGATGTCTATATAGCTATGAAGCACTGCCCTTGCAGTCTCTGAATCGTGATCTAATTGCGCTTAAATTCACCGCGCTGGAATTGCAGTTGTGGCACAGGAAAAAAAAATTTCAATGGATTCCTTCGGTTTTATATGTTGTCAGTAATTTGCTTGTATTTATCGAGATTTTCGATTTCAGCGCTTTTTCGATAGCCAGTACACCGATATCGCAGTGCAGCACACTTTCACAGACATCTTCAAATCACGAAGTTTCCTTTTCCGAAAATGGCAACCGAAATACTTCGTTTCGAGAAGTAACACCATCAAGAGAACTAAGAAATCTGTTCACTTCATTGACTTTAAGCAAAGATCCGTCGCCTGGTGATAGTGCACCAGCAACACCTCGACGAAGAGGTAAATTTTGGAATTTTCCTTCTTTAAAACAGCTTTTTTTATCCAATAACTAACATACTGTCAAAAGATTTTTGTTAGGTTTTAATTGTTATTTTATCACGTACCTCCGAAAATTTGCCAGTGTTGCATCGATGGCGTGACAACAAACGTCGATGACAAAACAGCTGCTCAAGTATTCAAGTATCAACACGTACGAATGCTTGATTTGGCCACTGATGTAAGCCTGTCAGATGAGCGTTGTGCAGAATTTCAT